CGCTCTTCCTGCTGTGCATCAGCTTGGCGCTGTGGAGTTACTTCTTCCACACGGACGAGGTGAAGACCATCGTCAAGTCCAGCCGGGACGCCGTGAAGATGGTGAAGGGCAAGGTCGCAGAGATCATGCAGAACGATCGGCTCGGGGGGCTCGACGTCTTGGAGGCCGAGTTTTCCAAGACCTGGGAGTTCAAGAGCCACAACGTGGCGGTGTATTCCATCCAGGGCCGGAGAGACCACATGGAGGACCGATTCGAAGTTCTGACGGACCTAGCCAACAAGACGCACCCGTCCATCTTCGGGATCTGCCGACGCTACGGGGGCGAGGTAGGAGTTTTCTCTCTCTCTCTGTGTGTGTGTGTGTGTGTGTGTGTGTGTGTGCAAATGACAGGACGTGGTGTGCTGGGGTGGGGGGCGAGGGAGGGAGAGGACTTGGGTGCGAGGGGTGTGGTGATGACCCGGTACCAGGTTGGATCAAGCCACTAGTTCCAAGTTGCCAAAAACATGTTTGGACTCAGACTTCTTGGGACTGAGGGTCCATTTTGGAAGAGGGAGGGTCATCCTTAGCTTATATGGTGCCTCATCATTTATGATGTTTCTCAAGGCCAGCCCCCAGCAAATGACTGTGCTAGTTTTGCGGGGAGAGTTAATGGTTTTCTACAGTGAACTTTGGCCTGGGGTCTGTCTCAGCGCCTCTGTTCAAGGGTTGGAGACCGAGGAAGGCACAAAGAAGGAAGAAAATCTCTTTGATCCTCATTAGGGAAAAGAGACACAAAATGCGGAGCCGAGTCAGTGAGGGCTCAGTGAGGATGAAGGAAGAAGCTGCGACTCCTTCCCATCGCCTTCGCCTTGAGGAGGGACCCTAGGGACATCCCCGCGCTTCTTGCCAACTCCATTAACTTTGCAAATGCAGTCGGGCTAGCTGACAGCAGCGCCTCGCTGGCCGCCTGACTCTAGCTGGTTCTGCAGCCCGCGGGACCGGAGATGCCCCTGGCCTTTGCAGAGGTGGCGATGCCAGGTCTCTCCCCTGCGCCCTGGTCGAAGTGGGGCGCGGACGGCTCCCAGCTTCTCAGAGCCTTTATCAGTTCATGTGATGAGGTTAGAAGGCCGGTTGAGGTCCCTCGCCCTCTTTTGTGCGGCACGCTGATTGCGCGCTGGAGCTCAGATTTCCTGGAGGTCCGGGGAGGATTGGCTCTGGTCCTCGGGCATGGGCCCAGTAGAAATGAGTGGCAAATGGGACTCCAAAGAGCACCGGGCCAGCCGCCCCATCTCTTTCAATTTGGCAGTTTATAACAGTTTCATTGTTGCGTTCTCTCTCTCTCTCTCTCTCTCTCTCTCTCTCTCTCTCTCGGCAGCATACTTTCTCCCTTATGTCCTCCCTACCTTCTTCCTACCCCTTTTTCATCATTTTCCCCCTCTCCTCACACCCCATGCTCCCATCCAACTTTGCCCCAACTCTCTTCTTAGCCCTTCTGATCTGCGGGTGGGCTGTAGGGGATGTCACTCTCTTTCAATCTTTGCTTGTCCTTTGGCATTTGTTTTGGGTGAATATTGAGAAAGGTTTCAATTAGTGATCTTATCTGCATTCTATCTCTGATACAAAGTCACTTCACCTCCCACTCTGCTAATCTGTCCATGATACTGTATCTTACCTGCCTTGTAGAAGCAGGTTTGCCAGGAATGGCAAACTTAGTTGGGAAATTTATTTGGTAGAGCTGAAATCAGTTTTTGCTCTTTCCCATTCACCCTAGCCCTTTCTGTGTTCTGCCTTTCAAAATGAAGGTTTCTCATTGGTGGTACATTTGAGCCTCCTGTGTAGTGTGGGTTCCTTTCCTCTGGGTCACAGGGTGGGGGAAAGATGTGAAGTTAATTGGAAGAGATGCTGTGTACTTGGGTGGTAAAAGCATATCTGAATGACACGGTTGCCAATATGATAACTGATACATTTTCTTGCCTTGAGTCAGAATGTTTATATTTTCATTTTGTGTTCTAGACTATGATAAGTCTTTTAATAAAGCTTATATTTCTTAAACATTTTTATAATTAAGTTGTTGGCAGATGATATAATCTGTTCCTGGTCTTAGAAAGCACCGCTTTATTTTTAATTTAGAGGTCTGTATGTAATGGTAATGTTGTGAAACTTCGGCTTTGGCTGGTCTGGTGTGCTCTGTTGGCATGTTTTATTCTGCATGTGTAAGTGAATGCTATTTTACATTTTCTTTTCAAACCGGTTAGGGCTAAATTGATATTTTAAAACCTGAAAACTGCAGACCCAAATTGGTTGAGAAATTTTCAGTACTGTCTTCTGGTAAATGTGTCACCCAGAAAAGGGACTAGATAAATGCTTTTATTTAACCAGAACTATTTTACATGTACAGGGCTTTTCATTAAATTTTTAAATAATAGAGGAAAAGTGAGTATCGTTAGCAAAATTATGAAATGCTTTTTATTTTGCCTTACATTAAAAAGCCTGCTCTTTGTAACATAATCAATATTGCCACATTTTTAGGTAATTTCTCTCTTGCTTTTTCTTTCTTTCAAAGAAAATCCCACCATCTACTTCTTATCTTTTGTGTTGTTTAGCTCCTTTAACATTCACCAGAGGAGGGTGCTACTGTTTGATTTTGGTAGAAATGATAGTTATCTTTTTTCAGAGAAGAGAAAGCTTTTTCTGAACTCTCTGTTACTTATATATATGCTGTCTGTAGAGTGCTACAGAAGGTAACCAAGGAGGCTAATTTTATTTCCAATAATTCACACTAAGATAGGCTATAAAAAACCCACCAGGGCCCATCTATAAATGGTAGTGCTTTTTAGATCCAGAAAGGACCTATGCCACATTGTGTGTTCATTTCATCCCATTTTTAGATGAGATGTTTGTTGATGGCTGAAGTTGTAACCTTCCTAAGGCTACATGGCTAGTTCAAGGCCTTCAGTTTGGTGATTTTTAAAAAATATATATTTTATTGATTTTTCACAGAGAGGAAGGGAGAGGGATAGAGAGTTAGAAACATCAATGAGAGAGAAACATTGATCAGCTGCCTCTTGCACGCCCCCTACTGGGGATGTGTCCGCAACCAAGGTACATGCCCTTGACCAGAATTGAACCTGGGACCCTTCATTCAGCAGGCCGACACTCTATCCACTGAGCCAAACCAGTTAGGGCAAGTTTGGTGATTTTTATATGAAACCACTGGACAGATTAGTTTGCATATTAACCCGGAAAGGCAGATAACACTCCAGGGCAGTGATGGTGAACCTTTTGAGCTCGGCGTGTCAGCATTTTGAAAAATCCTAACTTAACTCTGGTGCCGTGTCACATATAGAAATTTTTTGATATTTGCACCCATAGTAAAACAAAGATTTATGTTTTTGATATTTATTTTATATATTTAAATGCCATTTAACAAAGAAAAATCAACCAAAAAAATGAGTTCGCATGTCACCTCTGATATGTGTGTCATAGGTTCGCCATTACTGCACTAGGGATACAAAGGTGAATGAGACGTGACTCACATCTTCAAAAAGTTTTAGTGTAGTGTCAGAGATAAACCTGTATGCCAAACATTTCAGCTATGGTATACATGGGTTGATATGGAAACACTGAGGGGGGCATTTAAATCAGACTGGGAGGAGGGAGGCCTGGGAAAGACAACCTTACTTCAATGTTGAAAGCATGGGTTTTGGCTTGACATCTAGCTTTGAATCTCTGCTCTGCCTTACACTAGCTGTGACCTTGGGCAGGTTGCACTTTATCTGGGAGTTTTTAATTTGGAAAACAATAATAGTGCATGCAGACTGTACCCTCATCAATTGCATCATACACTGTCTAGGGGAATACGAATGGAGAGAAGGATATGGAAGAAGAAAACTTAGAGACCAAAAAAGACTGCAGTGTTAGGGCAACAACATCCAAGGAGAGAGGCTATACATGTGAAAGCTACAACGCTGATTACTAGAAAGGTGTGTATGTTGGATATGGATCATTCATTAGGTATCCCCCAAACTCTATCTCTCTTTATTCTAACTTTCGGTGAACTGACTATTAAATCAAGATTCCCAGTATCCTAATATTGGGATAGCAATACCCTGGCTTCAGGTACAAATTTTCAGATTGGTTAAAAAGACTCTTCTCTATGATTAATTAATAAATTGGTACTCTTTTTTTGAATCATATATGAACATTTATTCCAATACTGCCAGCAGTGTGGGAGAGCAGCAATAAATTGGTATTCTTATTTGTACTTCAGGCTCTTATGAGTTGGGTTAGCATGAGTTAGTTCTCGAGTCTATTCAACTGTGTATTTTTGACAAAGGTATCTTTGGCTTTGTTATGTCAAGGACCAGACTCTGGATGGCCACGATTTCTAGATGGATGAAATCTTAAAGAGCCTTGTCTTGATGGTCCTATAGGCCAGTTTCCTCACTTGATGTCCTTGGGCCCTTGAGACATTCTAAACACCAATACTGTGGGTAGATGGTTGATTACATGTGTGTATGTGTGTGTGTGTGTGTGTGTGTGTGTCTAAAGCTATGGCAGTGTTTGTTTTGCTGTATAACAAAGATTAAAACAACAAAGAGGTTAAAAAATAGCTCAGGTTGTATCAAGTGATGTGGGAAGTTTATTTTAAAAATTAAAACATAATGTTTACCTATGAACATTTCTGTGTGCTTACTTATAATTTTTATCCACAAGCAAAGGTGGGTTTTGTTTTATTTTCATCTTATCTGAAGAAATATCACCAATTCTTTGAAGCAACTTTGTCAGTGTTCGTGGCTGGAACCTGTCTAGAACAACAGGTTGTTATGTATTCCATATGCTTACGGGCATTACTATATTGAAGGTCACATATTATTATGTCATACATTTGACAAACAGCTTGGCCAGGGTTAAGCTTTAGAGTCTCATCAGAGAGAAACTGTACGTCAGATGCTTGTCAGGGGCTACAGTCTTGGGGCTCAGCACTTCCCAGGAGCTCAGGAGAGAAACAGCTTACGAAGGGTTGCCTGAAGGAACTAAAAAGTCTAGTTCTTCAGATCAGTGGTTCTTAACTTTTCTGGGGTCACGCTTCTCTTTGAGGATGTTGTGAAACTACAGACATATCCCCCGAGAAAAAGGGACATGTGCATCAAGTTTTGTTTATAATTTCAAAGATAAGCGGATGCATGAAGCCTCTGGATTTTAGGTTAGTCTAGATACAATAAAATCTGTTTCTGATAAATCTAGACCTGCAGGGAGCTGTCTGCTTGGACTCTGTGGCTCGATTGCCTTCCTCTCCATCATTTGCAAATACTGATTTGTGTGCTGGCTAGTGAGGGGTGTGAGG